ATTAAATAAGTAAAAATGTTTAATTATACAAATTTTTATAAGAATGAACGGTTACATATAAATATTTCTGTAAATATATAATATATTCATATATATAATTAAACTATTCATAAAAGTATTTAATTGGATCCGGAAATGGTACATTTTCAAATGTTAACTGATGCAACTAAATTGTTTTGGTATTTATACATTTTTATTTTAATACAATATTTCTATAGAAATTATCGATGATATTTCCTGGATAATTATAATACACGAAACACATACTAATAATTTTTACTTATTATTTATTTTCAATTTACCTAAAATTATAGTATATTATTTTAATGAATTATTAAATTTAACATTTACTTTAATAGTGCACATAATTATAATCTTATTTAAAGTATTGTGGTATTTACCCTAACTACTTGATCAAAAGTATTTTATTATTTTTCATTGATTAATAATGTTCTGAAAATGTTTTTCTATCACTTATTCAATAATTGCTTATAATTATTTATTTATTATAATTTGTTTGTAATTAGAATTAAAAATCTTGAAAATATACCGATAAATAGCTGTTTTTGCTTACCTACTGCAACATGTTTTGAAAACGTATGAATGATGAAATGATAAAATATTTACAAATTAGTGAAAAATGAGAAATTATCTAAACAAAAGTTGGTGTTATTTTAATAAGAGTGATAGAAATCTTGAATATTTCTTATTGAGAATTAAATATCTTGTTTTAATAAAAGCATGCATTTATTTGAAAATCCATTCCCTAGTAATAAAATATTTTTGAATGTTTCAGGGAACATATACAACTACAGGTTTTGATATGCAGAAATTTGAAGATAATAATTTTCCCAAGGTGTATTTTTACGGAAAATATAAGGGAACTATTAAGATAAAAACAATAAATAAAAAAGTAGTTGGTTGCTGTGTAGTTGAATTCAGTCTCTTAAGACCATGGGAAAAACCGATTTAATTTAATTTTTTTAAACAATAATATGTTATGTCATTGTTATGATAAAATCATAATGTTTATTAGTATTTTAATATTGTGATCATTGTCTGATATCATAGATAAGTTAATATATTTTATTATACTATCTAACATCTTTTTTTTAATAATATAGCGATAGACGCGGAGACCATTAGATAGGTTATTCCCCAGAATAATAAATATCCTGTAAGCAAATAATTATCGAGTACTTAGTGATTTTATTTTTAAAGGTCGCGAAAATGCAAACAATTTCTGCAATTGTGTATAATTTGACGGCTAAACATTTTTCTGTCTGGAAAAATCAAATAAAACCGTTTCAATAGTTTAAAAAGGCACTACAGAAAAACGTTCACGTCTCATCGAATATTTATTTATTTTTTCTGTTAAAAAGTGAATAACTTTGCTCAGGTCATACCGGAGAATGGTTTTTAATTTATCACGCCAGATGCGTGCTTTTAGTAGTAGGTGCTCAAATATGTGTACGACGCAATAGATGCGACGACATTTAACATTATGACTTTTAAAACTTTTAAAAATAGAGTTTTTCAAATCGTATTACAATCACAATTTTTCATGAATTTAACGATTTATTATTAATTGTATTTGATTAATAAAATATAAATGATTTGAAAAAATACAAAAATAATATTATTTAAACAAATACCATAATGACGATACGTTTAAATATTTGCTTAAATTCTTCATTAGCTTTCAACTTCATTTTTTAGTTATCAAAAATATTATTTATTACTGTATAGTTGACTACTGTGAGATCAATAGCCGTATAAATCAAAATTCCGAAAATGCATAATTAAACAATAACATGTTGTTAAATGTTTTATCAATAATGCAAAATTAAATTTTTCTTAACATTAAAGCATAGTTTTTATACTTGTTATATTTTAGTACCTTGAATTTATACCATAGCAAATGGCTTATCTTGAAATTCACAAATTAATTAATAAATTTAAATAACGGCATTTCTAATATCTTTGAAATTTACATAGTTAGTACAATTTAGCATTTATAGTTACGCTGTTATATTTTTTATCCTTTTGTGCCGCCATGTAATGTACTAATGTAATACAAAGCTACGTACACAATGAGTCTTTAAGAGTTATACGTTTAAATACGAATCTACCATATTATCAACTATAGTTATAGAGACTGCATGGCACCAACATTTACCAGCGGCCTAACGAATTGGCTTTTGTCACCATCGCTATTCGAAATATTTTGTGTTAAAAAGGAACAAAAAAAAAGATCACCGTGACCACCCGCTGCTCTATACACATCTGCTTTTACACACTTAGGAAGCAGCTGGACATCGGCGTCGAGCCGTCTGGTGTCCAAACAACTAAACGAAACGGTGTATCACCCATAACGTTTTGAATAAATATTCCTATAATAATGCGCAGTGCTTCGTCACAGCATCATTATTATTTATTATTGTTACATAGACGATCGTCTACGAATATTATATTTTAATTTCACTTCCACCGTACCATATTAGTATTATATACTTTAGGAGATAAGTTTTTCGACAATAGCCGAATTAGATCCTAGTGAAAAATGGCAAATGCCAAAATACAATATATTTAATACCTGTTTTTACCAATATTCAAAACGATAATATTGTTACGATGGATCTGCAACTCTTAATATATGTTTAATAATTGTCATTGAAACTCGCACGATTGAACGATAATCGTTACTATTTTACTGACAGCGGGTTGGCCGTAATGCGACGGTGCAGCCAAAGGGGTCAAAAATAAAAACGATTTCATCAAAGAAGGTATATATAGTAGTGACGTTTTGGTCATCGAGTCTCCGTGGGAACGCGTATTATGTTGGCAGGCATAAAGCAATAATGTTCGTCGCATTCCCGCGTCCCTCGTCCGTAGTCCGTACCCACTACTTTTCTTTTCCCCATATCGAGCATCGCATCGAACGCACACAATATTATAACATTCTGCGTGTAATAATATGCGCTGTAGGATCGTCGTGCGTTGTGTTGCAGCCGCCGAGAAATCTGGTTTCCAGAAATACGAAAACCACGCCCTTTGACCATCGACTCCCCAATCCCGCCACACACTACCGCGCACATACGCACTCACAAAACCCCGACGATCCCCCGCTCGTCGCGTCCAACCCGAACGGGCGCCCGTTTGTCTGCCGATTTCCGGCGGCGCGGTCGGTCGGCCGGTCGGCCGGTCGGTCACACGTGTGTACGGCTCGGGCATGAACGTTTTGTTGTGTTTATATGCGCACACAATGCACCGACAATACCCTCCGAAGCCCTGCGGCGATCATCATTTCACTATCAACTCGTTTTCGGTTTGGTCGTGCATTTGTGCAGCAGCAACGTCGCGCGCGTCTTTTACGCGTCACCGTCACATTTTCGTGTCCGCAGCCCTTTTGCACAAATAATATTATACGCTCGCGGGACCGCCAGTTAACCGTCTGAACGTTATTGTCACTATATACAACATAAACGCGGCTGGCTGGTACGCCGAACGGCGAAGTGCGTGTAACACGACATCCGTCCGCGAGTAATATGATACTGTGTTTTTTGGTCATAACACAGCTATATATTTTCGTCGTCGACTCAACGCACACGGTTTTTTTTCTGAAACGACGTCAACAGCATCACACTGCACCAGGTAAACCAGGATTCTTATACGTATTTATCACGATAATTCCATGACAGTACACCAAACGATACTAATTATAGTAGTTTGTACCCACGTTATATATATTATGTTCAATTATAATTTATTAGTATATTGCCAATTGATACAATTAATACATATAAATATTAAGTATAGTGGTCAAAACGAAAATCGTGTAATCAAAACGTCTTCACAAATAAATAATCCACTGTATTAAGGAGATTCGAAATCGACCGTTTGTAAAGAGTTTAATACAGGGAAATTTCCTGTGCGTTTGCGTGCGGGTCGTGTAAACGTGTTCGTAGTAACTAATATAAGTGATCATTATAGTGTGTGTGACTGTGTGTAAAATAAATCGCATGCACACACATGTCGATAACGCACTATACTATAATGAATTATTATGTTTTTCTTTTCTCGACAGTATCAATAGTTAGCCAAATGCGCAAACAAATCTAAATTTCGTATTGTCAGTCTAATGACAACCAAGACACATGTGTATTTACTGTAATAGGTATAAGTGCGTGCATTAAAATGAAAGTGATGTTAATGAGTGAGAAAATTAAAAAAATTCTTCGTGTTTAATGGTTTTAAGTAAAAAAAAAAAAACCTATTAGGAAATATTGAGCAGTTAACTTATACAAAAATAAATTAAATATTATTGAAGAATGTTAATGTATATGTAAATGTTACCCGAATTATCTAAATCATTCACTAACTACGTAAACGTAAAAATATTATGATAAATAAAAATCATGAACAAAATTTTATATTTAAAAATTATCATGAAAAACATATTGTGAATTTAATTTGCCCACATAATTTAGAGATGCGTTATCTAGCATAAGACAGTCTATTTTTGTAAAAATCATAGAAAATATTGAATCTCCTTAAATATTAAATTTATAAATACAAAAACAAAATAGACAACATTATAACAGATAACAAGTACATAAACCTTGGGTGTGAAAAACGATTTACGAAATGCATATAACTATTTTGATGTGTATACCGATTCACCTTCTATAATATAGGTATAACTTTATTGAAACAATATTTGAACTTTCTTTAGCAATGGATACGTTTTCACTAGGTTAAGATATACAAATGAGTAATAACTAATAATTATGCGTTTTCTTTAGATACGAGTATAGGTACCAGAGTATGCTAGTTGCCTCCCAAAATATACGAATCGCCCTCTTATCCTTATCTTAAATAAAAATTTAATACATACTAGCTGCCTCCGATGACCAGATATTTCATAATTATACACGAGTTGCCTCTCAAGAATTTTCACACTAGTTTCCTCTCGTGTAGAATTAAATAGTGGTTAATTTCACTTTAATACACACATAAGTTATAATTATAAAAATTAAGTTTACAATAAATTAATAACTTTTATTACTTTACATAATTATAGTTATTTAGAATTATTCAATATATTTTGACTTTTTTAAATTATTTAATATTTTATTATTATCAAAAATATTAAGTTTAAATGTATATATATATATATATATATACATTTATATTGAAAACAAAAATAAAAATTGGTAATTTAATAATGTTTTAGAATTGTGTATGGCTTTTTCAAAGTCAATACTTATAAATTATGTTTGGCTTAAAATTACAATCTATTTTTTAACACTACGAATTTAATAAAATAAATGTACCAGTATAATATGTTTTGTTCACTTAAATTTTTTAACAAAAAAAAAAGCAAGAGTTATGTAATAATTATTTATTAATCCATGAATAGTAAATAATTGACAAAAGTATTTGGTGAAATATTTGGATGTTCCATCTACAATATTTTTTAACGAGGAATCCCAAGTTAGTTTTAATAAAAAATAAAACGATTCCACTTTCTAAATCAATATGTTATAAAAATTGTGCATTTTTTTAAATAAAATCTATTTTCTCTAAAACATTATGAACTTAATTTTTCGTTTTAATTAAGTTTAATAAAATTAAATTACTAGTTAGGTATTATTTTTTTTGTGTAAAATACATCGGTATTTATAATAGTATTTATTTAATGCTGTCTTAATTCTGCATGTTATAACTTTGAAAACCTTTCACATAGTAATGAAAAATGATTGCTTTTCTATTTAAAAAGTTACTAATTTATTATCCATGAAATACTTGTTCAGGTAATGGTAACTACATGATTATTATAGTTCAACTTACTTTCGTTCAATTTTACTTTGTCATTTTCATCTACTTTTAAAACAATTATTAACATATTATTATATATAATAAAACCCTAACAAACAGGTATATTATATATACATATCAATATTAACCAATAACAATTTCAATATTAATTCAATGATAAGTAGTTAATGCTTATACAGACTAGACTTATTTAACAGATATTTTTACTAAACCGTCAAATGAATAAATATTGATATCTGCGGTAAAAGTCTAAAAGTTCACCTCCACGGTAACTAGTATTATATAAAAAGATAATTTAACAAAGTTTCTCATATTTAGACCATACTGAAATCTAAAATTCTAAAAAATATATAAGTATAATTTATTCTTATTTATAAATACCACAAATTTATTTACACCGTTTTAACATGAAAATTAATCGTAATCAACAATAATACAAATTTTTTTTTTATATGTTATCTTCAAAAAGATAATAGGCCACAATGAACATCTTCGTTTTTTTCTTAAGAATTCACTTTAAAAAAATACAAATTCGATAAATAAATAGAGCAATTAGCAATTACAATACATTTTTCTTTTATATAACTAAAACTTAAATATAATTAAATACATAATTATTATTCTTATATAAAGCAATAAATCGCGCAGTAAAATAATACAATATAATTAATATGTACATTTATAATTATTAAATATTAATAATATAATAAATACAATTTTTTTGACAAAAAATAATTCAATCTACAATATTACTAATAGTAACATAAATGATTGTATTATCAATAATAGTTTATTATAAAATACACTGTATAATATAGACTGAGTGCCAATAAGTTGTAGATGATTAGAGCCCAGAATTATATGCACTAAAAGTGTATTAAATATGCATGCATTTATGTACTGAGTATCATTCAAATATGCACTTTAAATATGCAAAATATGCAAAAAATTGATTAAAAAAATGTCTTTTATTTTCATTAAGTATAAATAAATAAAATCGAATAAAAGTTATGCACACACAGATCACGACGAATGTATGATTCACTAATATCTACTCAATAACAGATTACTTCTTGTCCTGATAGGTGTCAGATAAAATAAGAAAACGATTTTATCAAATTACATGGACTATAAATATAACTATAAATACGTTATTTTCATTAAAATAAGCAAAATATTACATATTTGCATATAAAAACCGTATATGTATATGCAATGAAAAAATTGTAAAATACAGAAATATACAGTACATATCAAAAAATGACAAAATAAAACTTTCTATTTAGGATCTATTGACTACAAATCAAACTTGTAGTTTACATAGTTATTTTTTGGACTATTCAGAAAAAACATGCAAATGCATATAAATCTGGACCCTATAGGTGATCATCTTGGCTCAGAATTTTTTTTGTATGCACTAATAAACATTAGTTTTATCATTGAATTCAAATTTAATACCAATGTTATAGGATATTACTTGATGGCGAAGTACGCTCAATCCCTACTAAACATCAAGTGATTAACAACTTTTTCTCCTTTCAAATTTGAAATTTCAAACGTAATTAACCAAGTTCCAATAAGAGGAAGATTATCTTTTTAAAACCACCATTTTTAATAGTAAATGCATCGTCCTAATAATAGGAAATTTATAAAACTTTTTAATAAACTAATAATAGTAATATAGATACAGAACAGCTTAAAACTTAAAAAATGTAATATATAAAAAAACAAAAATTAAAAATAAACATTCAATTTAAAAGTGAAATTAATTTTACTTCCACGTTATATTACATAAAGTAAATTTCATAAACAATAATCGATGACAATGATAGCTGATTCTATAATAAATAATTCATATATTATGCTTGAACTGTTTCGAACCTAATTATAAACAACGTTGACCTACGTTATAGCAGCATTCGCAAAAATGAACAAATAATATTAAAACTAGAATTAAAACCATACGTACTGATTTTGAACACTAATGCTTCCAAAATCTATGGTTTGATGTCAAATTATTCAAAAGGTAATAAGCTAATAACTAATGAAGAATTTATGTAGTTTTTTACTGTAGCTATAAATATGATGTATGTGTTATTTCAAACCAACGGTTAATATATTTTCTATTTAAATTTTAAATAATATTTTACAAGTGTATTTTGTGCACCATTTAACATTAACATACTTATAATTGTTTTGAATTTAGATACAATGATTATTTTACTAATATTATTGTCTATGCTACACACCGGATTGACGGCCATTGCCGGAAATGATGAAGTGGAAAAAAATTTACTTACAAAATTAGGTAAAATTTATACAATACAATTATCATAGCAATAATTATTTCAAGCACGACTAAGTGGAAATAATTGTATTGAATTATCGATTTATTGTAAAGGTTTAAGCCGAAGACCTGTGGTAAAGGAAAACATTAAGATACCATCTGCCACTATGGAGCTGTATAAATCGATGTTAGAACAAAATATGACAACACATTTTGCTCTTCCTGGTTTGCACACAACGTCTGCTAATACTGCTAGAGCTTACTTCAACAAAGGTAATAATGAATTGTTCATAAATAGTATACCAATGCTATTATTTTTTGACACAAAACATATAATACCTAAATTACGTACGAACAAGTAAATCAGTAATTATCTTATATTTATAGTATTTTTATCAAAATAAAATAAATTAATACTAATTTATAATGAATATTACATTATATTGAGCTACAGTAGAACATTGATTGTCCGAACTAATTAGGACCACACCTAGTTTGGATCCAGGAAATTGGTTTAAAAACATGTTTTTTAACATTCAATTATATGTTATTATGTATTTTTATTAATTATTATTATTATATTAAAACTATATTACGTATTTAGAAATATATAATTGTAAAGTACACAAATTTATGAAATTTTTTTGGCAAAATTATCCATTTTCATTTGACGATAAGCTATACGACACGCTTTTCTACAACTAAGTCTTGCAAACGTATAAGATAAAATAATTGTATTGGACAATATTCAATCTATTTTTCCAACCACTCAAGGCCAATATCAAACGCAACAAATGCTTTAATAGGTTTTTTAGATATACTCATACTTTCGTCACTACTACTATCGTCAGTTTCTTCGTTCCCGCTGTCATTTTAAAACAAAGAAATAACTTCACCATCATCTAATACTTGATGTCCTCGATCATTTACATAAGTCGATAGCCAATCAATAGCGTCATCGTAGTTACAGTCTTGATTCCTAAAATATCATTAAATAAATTTAAAAAAAACCATTAAGACTATTTAGATCGGTTTCTTTTTCGGCTTCCAACTCCTTAGAAGCAACCCACAATTTTAATTTTCCCATGCATTTTATAGATTTTTCTCAGTCAAATTATCCCACGCATCTACTACCAAGTAATAGCAATACTAATAATTTTGGAAATGCAACAATACTCTCTTCAGTGCCTTCATTTAATAAAAGTATCCTCAACATTTGTGTTCGATACATTCTCTTGAACTTTTCAATTACTTCCTAGTCTATGGGCTGACTCAAAGACGTAATGTGTGGTGGAAAAAATATGACTTGATATTCATAGACATATATGTATGAAGTGCGTTAATATAAATTAAAATAATGATAAAATCAGTAAACCGGCTGCGCGTGTATAAGAGCTTCAACGAATTTTAACGTTGGGATTCGAAAATTGTAGTTCGGATTAAGGTTCATATAACGGAGGTTAGAATAATCGAGGTTCTACTGTAATAAATTTTAGTAGAATATATTTAATGAATAATGAAATTAATTATTACGATTATATTTATACAGGATCAGCTCCAATTAATGCTAAGACTAAAAAATATAGACTACAGTTCGATATAGATTCCTTACCGGAACAAGACCAGGTTAAAGCTGCTGAAGTTCGTTTTACAATGAAGTATGATAAAGTACTACAAAATGAAGAATTTATTTATGTGATTATACATGATATAATTCAACCTGGCACAAAAGGTCTATCAAAACCTATTCTCAGGTATTTATAAACAAACAATCACTGTGGTAGATATAATTAATAGGTAACATTTATATACATTTCTAATTTTTATTAAATAATTATTAAATTGAGTCATATTTAAATTTATAGAGTTATCGATTCCAAATCAATTAATATGTCAACGATTTCAAAGACCGAAAGTTTTGACGTAACACCTTTTGTAGAAAGACTGTCGAAGAACAAGTTCAAAGATAACCATGGTATGTTAGTACAATGCGTCACGGAGTCTGGTAGTCACACACATTTGCTAAGCGTATTTGATTTTTTATCACCTGAAAATACATTACTATTGGTCTATACCGATGACGGAACAATTAGTAAGTATAATGCTATTTTTACTATAATGTTTAACCTGATATTGATACTTATTGCGATTATAAGTAAATAAAAACTAGGTATCCTAAATGTTTAAAATTTGTCCAGCTTTCCTAAACACAAAAAATATTCAATACGTTTAAACACAATTTCTAATTCAAAATTATTTCCTAGCACAACGCTACCATAAAACCATGATATATAGTAGTCTTAAAAGTCGTCAATATACTAAGGTCTACTTTATCTACAATTTATTCTATTTTTGATTATTATTTTACCGCCAGAAATAATGTTTTTAACTGCGTAATTTTTAAATAGTAAATAACGATTATGACTAATTTAATAACTATAAATTATAAATTATAACTAATTTATATTTTATTTGTGCTTCACTGCTCTACCTTTATTAAAACACTTCTTTATAATAATAATTAATGATTAATAAGCAATAACGTATTTACTTAAAAAAAGACATTCTTGCATTATTTAATAATTAATTTGTTCTCTCTAATAATATCATTAAGAATCAAATTTCTAAATATTCGAAATTAAAAAAACTTAAACTAAGGTTTTTAAGGACAAATTAAAAAAAAAAAAAATCATTTTTAGTTAAGCGTTATGATGAATTTAAATATATTTCCAGAAATTTTATCCGTTCACTAAAAAAGTCTGTTCAGTAGGCATGAGGTAGGTTTATTTTAGTAGTAACATAGATGGGATAGAATACCGTTAAACACGAAACACAACAGTAGTTCTATATCACAGTGTGAATTGTTATTAAAATATGTGATAAATTATAATTAATAATAATATTGTGTTATTGAATCGTTTTACAGGCGAGAAGAGCTCGATGGAACGGATATTGCAGCGGAGCAAACGGTCGACAGACGAAGTTGGAGGGTCGCAGAAGAAATCGAAAAAGAAGAAGATCTGTCAACGGTATTCGATGTATGTAGACTTCAAAGACATCGGGTTCAGTGATTGGATCCAAGCTCCTCCGGGATATAACGCGTTCTACTGCCATGGAGAGTGTACGTTTCCGTTGGCTAATCATATTAACGCGTCTAACCACGCGGTAATGCAAACGCTGATAAACTCGTATAATCCGGCTGCAGTTTCCCGGGCGTGTTGCGTACCGACCAAGCTGAGTACTCAGACATTGCTCTACGTGGACGACGATGGAAAGTTGGTAGTGAAAAACTACCCGGAAATGACCGTTGAGGAGTGCGGATGTAGATAATAGCGGTAGTTATGTACACGATGGCTATAATTTTCGATTCAACGTCATAACCTACCCACAGTAACTGTATTAAGATACCTGAACGTATACGTACATCTAGAATAATTTGCTAAGCATACTCTCTCACAATTATTTAAAATCTGATTTTTGAAATTTTATAATTATAATTAAATACCAAATTTTCAAATTCTTTTGATTTTTTGTACTTAAAATGGAATGCTCTGTGAAAATACAAACTATATTATAATTTGTAAAAATAGTCCAAGTAAAGTATAATAAATACTAGATCAAATATTAAATCTATCTTATATTTCTAAAAAACATTTTTAAATTCTATCATTCTTAATATAAAAATTTTTAAGTTCTATAATTTTTAATATAAACATTTTATTAACTAAGAAACAACTCGTTCAAAAATTAAATTAGATACATCGAAATGATAGGTATAATAATTGTTAATTTAATAAATTACAAAAAAAAGTGTATTCTAATTTAAAAAAAAATATAAGGTACGTTTATTTCACCACAAAACACTTTTTAAGTAATTTCAAAAATTTCAAAAATTTCAAAATAATTTTGTACTTAAGTTTACATATTTAAAAATTTCAAAAATTTAATAAATTATTAAGTGAAAAATTTGGAAAAACATACAAAGTGAATACATTTCATACCATCAAAAATTATCGATTCAATTTTAGTCCAAATATGATCGATGTGACTACATATTATTTAATGTACATAAATATATGCAATATACATATGTACACGTGTGTGCTCTTCAACTTAGTCAAAATTATTTAGCCTGAAAGATTAAAATAAAACCTATTTTTACTGTTTTAGCTGATACATCAATATAAATAAATATATATATAATACAGTGTAAACATCAGTATCAAATATTTATTTTTTTTTCAGTAACGAGTTAGTAATTCTGTACAAAAAAAATACTTGTAAATACATACAAATGGACATAATTGTAAAAAATAAATTATAAGTCTAGTCCAAAACAAATACAATTCCGTTTTAATGTTAAATAATCATGATGATTGTGTCTTAGACATATGTTTTGTATATTAAACATTTATACGACAACCTAACATGAATTTTTGTTACTATTATTTCTATTCCTATACATTTAAGTTATTTATTAATATTTTGTTTTCGTTGTTATTTTATTAAATGGTAATGTATACTTTATTTGAATAAATATTATTAAGTATAAAAATTTAACTGCATTGTACATTTTTTTTTTTATTACTATTATTTTTATTATTATTATTATTTTTATTAACTGTGTGTTTTAGAATCAATGGTTTATGATTCAAAAATGTAGATAAGCATTATTAAAAATATTTATTTTTAATATATCACTGTTATATATTTGTAACATCATAGAAGTAAGGATTTCCTAGCAATTTAAACTTTTCAAACTTTCCAATATTTAGTGTCTAAAATAAATATTAAATTAATTTAAATTTTACTAAAGGACATAAAGGACAGGAAAAAATTTATCTGGAGTTGCAATATGTATTCGTATACATACATAAATTAAATATATATAAAAAAAATTTATCCTGAATAAAAAAAAATGTAAAATTATTTCTTTAAAAATAATGTTAAAAAAAAAAACGAAATTTTATTTGAAGCAATCGTAGTACCTATAAATTATATTATTTTAAGTATAAAAATATAATTTCCAAACAAATTTTATTTCTTTTTTTAGATTAAATGTTAGAACTAAATTACATAAATATTTTATGGACTACAGCTCAAGCATAATATTATACTACTCTAAATGTATGATTATATTTTGTAATTCAAAATTGTCAATAACTTTTAATGTTAAAATACTTGATCGTTGTTGAAATTAAGTATCAACAAATTGATAATAATAAAAATATTTGTTCTCATTGAATATTTTTATTTGGTTAAATCAAAAACCATTTTTATGACTATAACTTGACTTTGGTAAATTAATATTCTGTTACATTTTTTAACATATAACTTGTATTTTTTAATACTACTTTAATGATTATCAATGTTTATATTAATAATACCCATAATTAGGTAATATATAAGCATGAAAGAGAGAATATCAAAATGACTATTTTATTTCATTTAAAAGCGTCTGGTATTTAATATTTATTAGGTAGGTAATTCAACTTACACGCCTTGATGATAGGCAATTTAATGTACAGTAATGAAAATAAGGATAGTGAATTTGTGGATAGGGCGGAGGGGCACTATGGTTTGATTCATAATATGGCCACGGGATACATTGTAAATAAAGGAACATACTTATAACTAATAAGCTATATAACTAAATCTGAGGCAGGTGAACAACTCATAAGTACCTATAGAAATACGTATATACTACCCACAAGTCTCGTTACAACAACATTAATGCAATTATTATACAATATAATATATGACGACTTAAAAAAAAAGCAAACTGAAATGAATAATAATAACTTCTCCATGACAATACATATTGTACCAATTCTACAATAAGTAATAGAATGACAAAAACGATGAAAAATGTATAACAATAGACAAGTTAATATACAAAATATACTAAGATAACATAAAAATAATAATTAATAAATTTTGCTAAGTATTCAAAAATAACATGGAATGTAAATTAATAAAAATAATAATGATAATAGTTAAATAAATATAGTAACTAAAATTTACAGCGATATAACTATATAGGTATTGAGAAAAGTTGGAAAGAGAATGAGTGATAGCATATAACTACAGATAACAATTGTATCAGTACAAAAGTCTGTGTATATAACTGAGCTCTATTTAACGCTAACGATAATGTTCGGTACGAATAGATAATATTTTTGAATTATAAAATTCTGAAATAATTAAATAACTAAAATCATTATTCCTTATAACGATTCAAACATACATAAAAAAAAATTGTAATGAGTATGTTTTTAGAACTTTAGTTTTCAGTATGAACTAGGTACTTTATGAGAAACTTTTTGTTAAATTTTCATACCTTAACTACAAAATATTAAACATTCTATAAATTACTTACTACATAAACGAATTTGTCAACTTTTATGATTTTGACATATTTTATCAAAATTTGAACTTCAATCGCTTATACAAACATCCTACTTGTATATTCTTAATATTTTTAAATTTCTATAAGAACAACTTATAATAGTCTAGTATAAATTAAGCTTTTTGACTAGAAATATTATAATTTATTATCAACATTGTTAAAACATATAAAAACAATTAAATTCTCTACATAAATAGTTTAAAATTAGTTCGAATATTTAAAAAAATTCATTGTCTACAAAATAGGTAGAACTAGGTACCATAAAATAATATTAGTACATATAAGTTAGAAAATTCAATGTTGTCAAAATTTGAGTTTTAATCGCTCATAAAAATTATTGTGACTTTAACCTTAACCTAGACTTTTTTCAATTTTTTTAAATAAACTTATGAGCATTCTTATATTAATTTTTAAAATTTCAAGTGATAATAAAATTAAAAATTGTATGAATATTAACTTACAAATTATTTTGTAGTTATAATATAATAAATTTTAATATTCATATATGCGCAAAATGTAATACAACTAATACAAAGTTCCTCAAAAGTAACACTTAAGTACTGAAACAAAAAATCTAAAAAATATACAAATACTATACGATTTCCCTAATAAACAATTGAAGTTTATAAGTTAGAACAAAATTAATGAAATTAAATATTTAAATAAAAAAATAGCTCTTTTAGTCATTTTGTTGTAAATTTTAATTATTCATGGAATTTGAAAATTTTACATATTTTATATACACAAGTACACATTGACATTTTTAAAACATTTATATAGTTGATACATTTTATGCTATTGCCTATCGATAACACGAACCTATTCGGTTATTTATAAACTGTTTTACAGTATAGGTAAGTCTATTTTGACTCAAAAATTAATAACATTAATATATACAATATTACAATAATTTCTTTACCTGAATATATGTTGAAGATTGAAACATTTTTAGCGTTCCAAATGGTAATGACAATTTTAAAAAAATTTAAAAACTCACATCACTATAAATTATAAAACTAATACAATCACCCTTCGCTCTGCAAAATCTGAAAAAATTTTAATTCTATTTGATGTACGGTTGATCTCATTTCTGTGGTTTTGTCCGTGGACGGAGGTTAATACTGGTAATTAACTAGGGCTCGGATTTTGTAACAAAATATATCCTTAAAAAAAAATTTTAAATAGCCAAAAAAAAGCAATAAAAAAAGTGTTTATTAAATTTAATTCTATAAAAAAAAAATTTTAATTACACATTAAATTAAGTATTAAAAACGGAATTTACAACCATATATTTAGACAAATCATTTTCGTTAAAACTCTATTGGGTCCTAATTTATTTGTATACACAGAAAATGACATTTTCACATCAACTGAAGTAATTGATACAATGATGCATATTTTACATACTGTTTCACATTAATATTTAGTGCAGTGCCATCATAAATGCTATTGATTTTTTGAAGTTCTGCATATCCATTATTCTTTGGAAAATTCAAAAAACACGGTTGCACTTTTTTAAAATCAATTTCACTACTTCAACTATTAACTCTCTCTAACTTGTTTTGTCATAATACGGTAACTTTATATTTTTTTTCAGCTTCGCGTTTTTTCAATTAGTATTTCTATAATATGTCTTTCTCTGCCAATATTATGTTGTTAAACATAATAATTTTTATCCGAATTAATTATGACTTCCTACAATTAACAAAATAGGTACAATATTTCCGTCTGTCATTAATACATTTTCACCAAATTCTCTCGATTTTTTTTAATTTCAAATTTTCTTTTTCATCTTTTGGCATTTTGACGATTAAATTTAACAGAACACTAAACCTCACTGACTGATTTTTACCAATCAAGTACTCGAACACGCTATAAAAATGTGCAGATATAGATTGGAATCGGATAATTTTCCCGAAGTCGTAAATAATACTGAAATTACGGTCATTTGATAAAACTACAATTTTGGCACAATAACGGTAGTTATTTTTAACAGTCGTCTATTTATTACTGGTTTTTTCGCTGATTTTATAATTTCCGTCAATAATAATACAGTCGAAGTATAATATACATAGAAACAATACGTTAACAAATTTGCATAACAATTGTAAAAAACTTAAGAAAAAATGAACCAAATGCGGGAGAAAAGCACGTTTTGTGGAAAAAAGCAAAATTGAAGTTAATTTCATTGAAATCGGTACGATTCAAAACCGTGTTTATGCACGAGAATATTTATCTTTCTGTCGCAATCCCATCAATAGAAGCATTTGCCACAAAATCCTAAGCCCAGTAATAACTTACTATTAACTAATAATAATTCTATAGCCAAGTGACAACAGCGCGAGAGTGCGAGACGTGCACGTATCTCGTTCCATCACATTATTTCCACGGTCATGTCATACCTCCCAACCCGCCGCTGAACCGTTCTAGCCGATAATAATATCATTAGATATCGTGCACTCGTGCGCAGTGAAGAAAACGTAATGTATTAACCAATTTACTTGACTTAAAATGATAACGACCCGACGACTGCAACAGCAGCAGCTGCGGCTGCAGTGCACCGACGACGCACACGCACGCACGCACGCACGTCGTACGTAACTTACAAACACAAATTTCTCACGCACACGCGCAGGCACGCGCGTGCACGTCTCGACGAAAATATTTGGCATGTGTAAGCCGATAGCGGGACGTATCATCTACACACCGATACGACAATAATAATAATAATAATAAAATAATGTTTAATTGTTATTATTGTGCCTACCGGTAATCATAGTAATAACGAGGAATAATATTATTTTCGTACGCATACGTACTAATACAATAGCAGGTACACATTTTAATGTTATCGCCGTCCCCCGTCGACTGCAGGACGTGATCATTTGTAAACACAACGGCGGATTATAGAAGGACGCTCGCTCTCTCTCACACTCTTTCTCTCTCGCTCTCTCCCAATATTACACCTACATACATATATAACAATATATTTTGTGATCATCGTGTTGTCGCACAGTTCGGTCAAGTGCGTTTATGAAAAAAAAATAAACAAATAAGTTATCGTGGTGTTCCGTGTGGTTTGCGAACGGTGCGAGGCTGCCGACGGACCTCATCGACGTGTTGACTGCAATAAATAATATTATTATACCGTCGTCGTCGTCGTCGTCGTCGTTGTCGTCTTTGCCGTTATTGTCGTGTCGTCTGAACCGCCGTAACGTACACGCGCGCGCGCGCTCCATTCAACGGACGAGACGACCGTGGGAGACGCACGTTGCCGTTATTGCGTTGAAGACCATCACCAAACTCGCATACCAACTGCATACGTCTTATGTTAGCCGGGTGAGTGTAAATATATAATTGTGTGATAGATGATAGTTTCAATTGGGATTCCCAAATGACCGGTAGGCATCGGGGTGTTAACGCAGACGACAGGGTTCTGTCACGGTATCTAACCATACCCGATGACCACACGTTATCTGCCAAAGCTTGTCCACTGATGAGTCTAGTGACGTGCTTTAGAACCCACATTTTCTTGTCCTCATCCGTCTAGATTGATTCTGTACACTTGGTCGTTCACCAGGGATCTATAACATTTTAGACGACTGATTTGTGGATAGTAGTCATGACATATTTAATTATAACTTCGATAATATCATTTCAGCTATCCTCTTTTCTCTCTCCACTTGATATGTTTGTTCACCTAGTGTGGGATTTTATGAATTGACATTACTTAATTGTTAATGCTATTTAGTCAATTTAAAATAATTTCTGCATTTTGTTTAGAATAAATTGATGTTTTTTAGCATAGTCATCCTAGACTTAGTCCATTAACTTACTTATTTCTTTAACTTTGTAATGTTTATCAATCTTTTCAATTCGTAGTTCTTCTTTAGTAAGAATTTTAGTATGCTTACATAAACTCAAAGCTGGAGAACAGGTTAACATTTCATTTATTTAGTATATTTATTATAAGCTTAGTTAGAATAAAACAGGTCTTTAAATAAAGTTTATGTTTATAATTTCTTATAAAAGTATGGAAACATCATTTTAGAATTAACTTTAATTATTTCAAAATAATAACCTAATTCTAGCTTAAATTAATTTTTATTTATCACCTATTATTATATTCTTTATGTCTATAATAGATATTAATTTATTGCTTTTAATGTTTAAGTCTAATGAATAATTGTTTTATAATAAATGAAATTATAAATGATTGTTGTTTATAAATAAATATTTATTATTGTAAAGCTATCTTTACAAATAATAATTAAAATAGCTTGTTATGGAACATTACTCACTTGTAAGTATTGTATCAATTATTTTTTTATGCTTTATTTATCAAATTTTCATTTTTGAGTTATTTGTAAATTATTTCTTTTTATAATAATTATTAAGTTACTTTATTCATAGTAATTTCTCTGTTAACAAGTCTGTTAGATCTCTTCCAAGATATATTTAAAAAATAATCCATCTAACATATTTTGTTATTCACTAGATAACTATTAGTCAATACAATTTTATATTTACTTTAAATATAAAAAAAAGTCATAAGCTTTCATTTTAAAATGATAAATTTACAGTACTGTGATTTTATATAATTGAAATATTTTATTTAATACCATTTTATCAAAAGTTATTTTACGTTAGTAATTATTATTTTCCTGGTATATAAAACTGAAATCATTATCAACAAATCTATTATTCATATTGATTATTTTTTTAATATTTTTAAATTAACAATATTTATAAAGAGATAACAGGTAGGTACCTACTATAATCTGTACCACAATATTAAAAGATAACATAAATAATGCGTGTGTGTTTTCAAAACTCTTATCTTAATTATAGGTACATGATTTCATTTTTGCTATAATATTATATTATGATAATATACCTTTATATATATGCATTGTTTTTTAGAGACTATGGTCTTACTTATTAGCATGGTTCCTAATGCGATAAAAATATTTAATGTTATCCATTCATTTGTTTAATTTTTTTTTTTCAATCAACTACATATAAATGATAATAGTGTTATAATATTTGGTTGATTTTCACTAATATGAATCGCATTATTTATTTTAGAAACATGCCGTTATTTGGGAAATCACAAAAAAACCCAGTAGAGGTAGTGAAACAAATAAAAGAAGCTGTTGTTGCATTAGAAAAAGGAGATAAAAAGTTAGAAAAAGTAAGTATAATGTAACAAAAATTGGCTTTTTATTATATTCTTATGTGTTTTTAATTAGGCATTTAAATTTTTAGTTTTAATACTTGATTAGTACTTAATTTGATTGTTAATTTATTTGTATTAGGTGCTGTATAAATCTCATAAAATAAAACATCAATTATAATCTTTTACTGTAATTTATACCATGAGATCATATTATATTTCAAGTGATATCTGATAGGTTTTATTTAACATTATTAAATTACTAAATTTTTACATTGAGATCAAAGTGTAGATCAATTTATGTAAATTAAATACTAATAAGTAATAAAAAATAATTTTGTTTACTTTTAGGTTTTTTCAGTATAGTTTTAATTAATGTTATTAATAATATTTATACAAAAAATTATTGCTTAGTTATACTATTTTTTTATTAATAATCATGCTGTTTCAGGCACAGGAAGATGTTAGCAAGAACCTTTTAGTCATAAAAAATTTATTATATGGAACAGCAGATACTGAACCTCTGTCTGATATTGTTGTTGCACAGTTAGCACAAGAAATGTACAACAACAACTTATTGCTAATGTTGGTACAAAATTTGACAAAAATAGACTTTGAAGTATGTCATTCTAATAGACTAATTAAATTTATTCTAATAAATCCATTAATATTATATCATTTAACATTGTAGGGGAAAAAGGATGTTGCTCAAGTTTTTAACAATGTCCTTCGTCGGCAATTGGGTAGCCGATCACCTACTGTTGAACATATTTGTGCAAAATCTGAAATTCTGTTTACTTTAATTGCTGGGTAAGTTATTTTATGTTATTACTTTTTTGTTATTGCATTTATTGAATTCTACCTTATTAATATGCATAAATATTACATGTTCAATCAAGTATAAATAAGATAAATTTTAGAAGATTTTATAATAAATTCAACCTTAGTGTTTTGAGTTATTGCTACAATTGTTTACTATATTATTGTTTATTGAACATTTCATCTAAAACTAAATAAACTATAGTATGCTATTATTGTAATTTTAAAATATTGTTTTCGATTTCACACATTAAAATTTTACTAATTTTTGATTAACTTAATTTCCAGTAATACGTATTATTATCTCATTAAATCAAATAAAGCATTTTTTAAATATTTCAATTTATAATATAAATAAAGTTTAAATATAAACAAATAGGAACACATTTTTAATTTGCAAAAAAGTTGCATCATGATGATAGACATACTGAAATCAGGTTAAACAATGTTTTTTTATTTTTATTTAACTAATTTGAGTTAAGTCCTTATTAAAAAAAAAACTCCTTTTGTAGTTATGTTTGTTTTTAAATGTATATAAAATTGGTTAAATTATTTGGTCCAATCCAATTTTATATCATAAATAGGTTTAGTTCAAAATATTTATTGCCAGAAAATACCATTTTTGGTTAAACATCTTCACAGTTTTTTTTAGATTTTAATATATAGATATTCAGTTCATATCAATTCATAAAAATAAACAGATGTTAAAGGCATATATTGTATGAAATATTTGAATAATAAATAAATTCCCTATGCTGAAAATATTTGTAGCTATAACCCAAATTGAGTATGTTTTTTTAATAGATTATAATTCATACATTTTACTATTTTTATTTGTTTAAATTATCTTTATATCAAATGTGCTTTGAGAATCTGAAATTATTTCTAGAGATTAAGTTTAGAATTAATAGAAATAATAATTTTATTCTTTAAAATTTCACAGATTATTTAATTAATAATTAATTTAATAATATGCTAAGTACAAATACTTAATTATTTATCTATGCTACTTGGTACAAACATTTTATTTTATTTTGTACTAAAATAAATGTCTATGGAGATTTAAAAATTAAAATGTTTCATTTTTGTTATGAAAATATTATTATAGCTTGCTATTTTAGTCAACATAACTTACCAATAATAATTATATAAATAATAGAAATATTATTTAAAGGTATGAACATCAAGAAATAGCTCTTAACTGTGGAACAATGTTACGTGAATGTGCAAGATATGAAGCTTTAGCAAAAATAATGTTGTACTCAAAAGAATTTTTTAATTTTTTCCGTTATGTTGAAGTTTCGACTTTTGATATTGCTTCAGATGCATTTTCTACTTTTAAGGTTGTATACTAATTAATCAAGAAAATATACTTTTAAGTTAATGTTAATTTATGTTTATTGTTACTTTTTATAACATAGGAATTACTGACTAGACACAAACCACTTTGTGCTGAATTCCTTGAAATCAACTATGATAAAGTATTTACACATTATCAACAACTGCTGAATTCTGAAAATTATGTAACTCGTCGTCAGAGTCTCAAGTTACTTGGTGAACTATTGTTAGACCGTCATAATTTTACGGTACTTATTTAATAATATAAACATTCCATTTTGTTTATAAATTGGTTGAATTGCTTTTGACATAAATATGTCTTTTTATAGGAGCTTATCTTAAATTTTAAAGGTGTATCATTTAATTTTTAATGATAAGTACTCCATTCTATGGTGAATTTTTAAATAACAAAATATAATAATTGTTATTGTTACTATTTTCATTCAATTCTAAACACATGTTCATGGTCCATTAATTTTCTAAATGAGAGTATATTTTACATAGATGTTTAATTATTTGTTTCAGGTAATGACTCGTTACATATCAAATCCGGATAATTTAAAATTGATGATGAATATGTTAAAAGAAAAATCTAGAAATATTCAATTCGAAGCTTTTCATGTTTTTAAGGTATCATTTTTAGTTACAAATATTTGTCATATAATATAATACTTATGTTTCTCTTTAGGTATTTGTTGCTAATCCTAATAAACCAAAGCCTATTCTCGACATTTTGCTTCGTAACCAAGACAAGCTGGTTGAATTCTTGACAAGATTTCATACCGAACGATCTGAAGATGAACAGTTCAATGATGAAAAGGCGTATCTGATCAAACAAATAAAAGAGCTCAAACCCACTACTAGTGATCAATGATTTAGGGTGTATGCGACTCGAAATTATGACTATTCGAGTTGTTGATAATTACTTTACTTGTCATCATTTTATTTTAAGTTAGATTATATTTAGGGGTAATAACACGTTTATAAAATTTGGTTTTCGAAGGGGCATTTCAAATTTTTACGCATAATAAATAAACATAATTTATTTATTTATTGTTTTATAAATGCCTCAGTGTTAAAGAAATGTAATTATACTCGTTTGCATAACAAGAATTATAACATTTGAAAATTAAATTTAGATGCAATCCTATTGTATTCATTTGTTATATTTTGTAATATCTATTAGTAAACACACATACATACTATGTTTTAATATACATATATGTGTGTATGAGTATAATTTTTGTCAAGTTTTTATATGGATAATCAATGTAATCATTAAGAAAAAATAAGTTTTTATATTAGAGTACTGTTGTATTGAACATTTTTAAATTGTTTAAACATTGTATTCATTAGAAAAAAAAATCCTTATTTTATAATTATAAGCAATCTGTTTATAATGAAATATTTAACTAATTATATTTATGTACTGTATGAAAGGACTTTTTAGAAAAATTAATGTTTGTTACCTATACATTAAAAAAGTACATTAAGCAAGGTTCACTATTAAATTTTATTTTTTTGAGCTAAAATCTATTCTGGAATTTCATCTAACAACTTTGTTGATTGTTTGTCGTTATAATATTGTTGGTTTATAATTAATATTGCCACAAATGTATCATTAAAACATAAACAAATGTTTTTTTAAATATTTTTGGTATTAATAATTATGTGGTATTTTTGTATTGCAAAAGGCAGTTTATTAATAATTATATTTAAATTATAAAAAGTCTTTTATACATCAATAAAATAAATAGTTCAACACATAGTAGATTTTTTTATTCCTATAATTTTTTAATCTTATAAATGGAAAATGAAATTATTGCAGTAATGAAATTGTAGTATTTTCTATGTAAAAAAAAAAAAAAGTAATAGACATTTTATCTCATAAAATTTGTTTATTGTATAATTTTTATTACCTTAACAATTTAGTAATCATATGTCCCAATTAAAAACAAGATTGCCCTTTTTTGAGAATCACGTCCCCTTATCCTGACAAACTTCAAACTGAATGCTTTTGATCTTGTTTTCAGTAGATAATAATACTATCTCTATATCATTATACTTTTAGATATGTTTGAAAAAAAACCTGTACACAAGTACACAAAAAAATAAGTATTATTATTGTTCTATATTGAATTAATGTTAAAACCTAAATTAGTTAAAACAACATTTTTTGTCTAATAAGTGTCAAAAGACGGCAAACAGTTGTTATCAATAATTATGAAACATCATATTTTAGAATATTGCGCAGTATAATTTTTATCCCCAACAAGAGCTTTTACCACTTGTAACAGGCAAGCATAATCTTCAAAATGTCATTAAAAGTTTAAAAATTCACTATGTAATTTTTGAATGTTTTTTTAGATTTGAGCAAAAATCAATAATTTTGTATATCTTGATTTTTTATAAATATGGTCACTTTATTTTACAATATAATTTTAACATTAAAAAAACATTTTAAGAAACAAAAATATGTATTTGTTGTGGGTAATTATTATTTGAGTCTTTTTTTAATAACATATTTGTAATAACTGATTTTTATTGTTCAACCTATGTATTTAAATCGCAGTCAAGCACCAAATGGATTTATTATATTAATCAATTTTACAGTTTAGATATTGAAAATGTTCTATGATTATTTACAGTTGTACTGCCATAACATGTTAATTTGCTGATGAAAGTATCCATTTATAAAAACAAAAAATCATATCCATAATATCTACAGACTTCATTATAAAACAAATATTGAACTAGACTTGTTGACTTGTCTAAAATTTCTATTTCTTGAATTAGCTTCATTGATTTAATTGTTGGAAATTTGTGTTATTACAAAACAGAAATTTTAATTTGTTTTCTGTAAATTTAACTAAAACTTCATTAATAAAGTCACTCACGTCCAACAATGGTGGTAAAATTGTATTATCTTTGAGGTAGGTAGCCTTGTATCACCACATCTGTAGTGTTATTTAAAAGCAATTGGATAATAAAAATATAAAATATTTTTTTATTTGTGAATCATATCTCTAGAAAAACTGTATAACTTATAACAGTAGGTAGATTTATAACAAAAACAATATGATTGAATAATATGATATAATATAATCTATAATTATGATAAAAATTATAATTTATAATATTGGGTAAAACTATAAATCCCAACTCACAATTACATAATTCACTACCTACCTGATAATACATTTTCATTTTTTGTACCTACGCCATAACTAGGGCCAGAATTGAATACAACTATTGTTTTTTGAAAAATCTCATGAAATAGGTACTTTTCAAATACAAAATTTGTTTCATACATGACGGTATACAGAAAAAGTTTATTCAAAACTTTTGTTTTGTATTATTTATAATTTTTAAGTTACTTTATTAATTTTTAGTGTATATATTTAAACATTTTATGAATTTATAGATAAAATTTAATTGGCAATTTAAAAAGATTTTAAAAATTTTGTTACAACTATTTATCATTTGTTGATCGTTCTTTTGATAGTTAAAATAACATCTGTAGTGCCTCCGTTATAAGTGCTTACACAAACTCAATTAAAAACATTGGTATGTTTAAAATGAATAATTCGGCCTCAAAAGTAATGTTTTTTCTCTGGACAACACTCAAAACCATCGCCAACACGTCTATTACCTATATTGTTTTCATATTTTTTATTATAAAATAAAAACTTTAAATTAATAAAATTTTTAAAAAAAAAAATGGGACATTATTATTGTTAAAATGCATTTTCTATGGATATTCTTGCTATTTTTAAATGGTTTTAGGACTATATTAGGACTAATCATGACAAATTACTCGAATCTACCAATCTGGTGAATATACACAGTACACACTATTGCCTACACGTTATGTAATAGTTTTGTTTTACTAATCAGTCTTTTATGCTTTAGAGTTTGAACACTAACTAAATAACAGGTGTCATCATTATTGTGCCAAACTATGTCGTTAATATTCTTTGTTGACAATTCTAAACAATGTAAACTACTCAGACTATCTGCAGACTAGACAGACTAATTCAGTTTCAAACAATACATCGGCTGTAGCGAAGCATTGGTGGAAGAGAGGGAACGAGTTTCTACCTGCCGCCACCGTAACATGGTAATAATGTTATCAACAATATCAACTGGCAACTGCTTATATCCCATCAAATCGAAACACGTACGTAATGTACGTATACAGCTATAGGTTGTGTGACAATTATTAATACGTGTACATTAATTTAGCTGAGTTTATACATAGATACTAGATAGATACACGACACACGTATGTGGTGCTGATTGATTTCACGCCGTGTAAGTGTAAAATATGTACCTATACAGGACATAGGTTCATCATACATCTAACCGTTGACATTCAAAGTGCATTTATCTCATGATTTTTTGTATATTTGTAAATATTGGGTAAAGACTACGACATAGTACAAGTAGATAAAAAATCAAAAATAATAAATATACCTTTATTATTTGTTTACAATAGATAATAAAAAAAAAAAATTCGTTAAGTACCAACTACTAATAATAAATCGGTATGGTGCAAAATTTGACGCCGTCCGTAAATATCTACATTAGTCAATAGTCAGTAAGGTGTGTATTCTTATTACTATTTATATAAATGCACATTTATTGTTACCTATTTATAGACTATAATAACTAACCAAATTTCCATGTTAGGAATTTAGGTTCTGAGCAGAGCGATTTATGTATTGATTTGTTATTTTTTTTCTATCTTACTCTGTCGACTATCATCATTCATCACCATTAATTGGGACTGGGACAACACAATTTTCATCCTTGGGGGTGGACTCCGATGGAAAATGGCATTAGTTGCCAGTTGGTACTTAAGGATGTCAAAAGTAAAATTTCCCAGCATTAACTTTTTTAAATAACCGGAAAAATTAGATGTATTGATATTATATATATAAAAAAAAACGATTATGTTTTTTGGTGAAACTCGAAAATGAATAACTGTAAAAATGTTCACCAAATATTTAAAATAAATATTATGAATATTATGATTATCTTATACATGATAACATTTTCAAAATATTATGAATTTTTTGTACTATTTATAAACATTTTCATTTTTTTTTTTAAATGTTGATAAAAATTTTTATTCCTCAATCCAAAACCAAAATAGATACAATATAAATTGCTTTAATATGTACGACATACATATTTATTTGCTGGTTATTGTTAGAAAATTTAAAGAGATTAACTAAAGAAATGAAGATGGCACATTAAATTAAATTAAATATAAATAATTATAATATGATATTCATAAAATAAAATTGTACATAAATTATACGACTGTCGCATAAAATTTAATAGTTCTTCTTGAGTGTACCTAAGTTCAATATTTTATTGTAATATTGTTAGTATACCTAGTACGAAATACGAATACACAGTACTAATACTGTAAATTAATATAATAAGTAGGCGCACTATAATATTCTTGATTATTATATTAAATAATAATGCGATATTGTAATCATTCGGCGATCAATTTGTATTATCCACTAGTCCTCGGCTTTAATTTAATTTAAATAGTTATTTTCATCATTAGTTGAACGAAATCGGAATACGAAAAATAGACATCTTACGAACCGTAGATCGAAGAAATCGAAATCGTTTCCCATTTTTTCTTGCATAGTCGCACTTCTTATCATTTATCGCTTAACACCGTCAACGAGTGTCGAACTTACGACGACGCGTCCCGTTATCAACTAACATTTTCTCCCTTCTACTTTCCCCATACGTGCTATCTCACTCACTAGCTTCTTTCTATCGTCTGTCCGTGTCTTGCACTCATTTCTAATTTCTACGGTCGTCGTTATCTTCTCGAAACCAACGACGTACCGTCTCATCCGTTGACCGCCTCCACGCATGAAATGACAACTCGACGTCACTGTTGTCGTTGTTGTTCATTTCGTTGTTTGTACAAATTTTATTAGGATTCTTGCTTGTTGCCGGTCCGTGTCCGACAAACCAAATTTACCCGTTGAATTAGCTATCATATAACCATGCTGTCAAAGGAATGCATCAAGTACATTTGCTGGACACTGATATTCACGTTTGTGTTCCTCGGATTGCCGAAACTCTGTTTGAGTCACGGACACCACCACCACCACGATCATCACGATCATGACCATGACCATCACAC